GAGCCCCGGCCTCCCCCTGCCTCACCCGCCGCTCGGGTTGCCGGGCGGGAACAGATGAGCGGTTAGCGTTTTGTAGGGTTGTGTTGCACATTGTAGGGTTGTGTTGCACACCGCCGCTGCAAGGAATGCGAAGCCACACAGCTGACCTCGGCGGGTGTTCTGTCTTTCCTAGTCCACCTGTACCAGCTGGACATCACGGTGAAGCAGGGGCGTAACAAGGTGCGGGAGATGTTCATGAAGAACGCCCACATCAGAGACCCACGGGCCATAGACATGCTGGTTATTAAGGTACTGAAAAGTTGTTGTGGAGGCTGCAGAGAACGCGGGAGTGGGTGATTGGAGGAGAGGGACAGTTTCATCTCGCACTGTGCTACGGAGGAGTTGTCTCTTGCAATCCAGATGGGTTTGTCAGCAACCCTGTTGATCAGGGAACAAGCTGCTTTAGCATGCAGAGGGATGGGGTCTTAAAGCACCTTAGAGTTGCTGGAATATGGATTTCTGTCACTCAGTGTCCTGACTATTCCATATTAACGATGTTTAAAAGAGGAAGTGCATGGCAGGCAACACAGTAGTTTAAATACAATGGTTGTGGGTTTTGTGTTTTGGTTTTTCTTTGTTTTTAGAAAACAGCAGCAATCAAAGAAAGGGGAAAAATATGCTGTTAGCTAAAAAAAATTACCTTTCTGCTCCCTAGAGTACTTCCTTAGATGGGGATGTGGCTTTCTTCACCAATTCTGAAACATACATGGGAGTGATAGCTTTGGGTGGCACCGTGAATCTGTAGCACATCTGGTGATGTCTGGTTTGAAGCACTAATCGACAGACTTAAGAGCAGGGCAAGGCTTCAGAACAGGTCCAAGCAACAACTGGCCTCTGGGTTCTAATGCATTAGAAGGTGTCCAACCAAGGACTGCTGTGCTCACCTGTTGCACTTCTTGCATTTGAAGACAGATTGTCTTTACATGACAAAAAAAAAACAAGTGGAAACAGAATTCCTAGATAATACAGGAGGTGACAGTTCCAGGCAGTCTCGTCCTGCCCCATGCTGCCATTCTCCAAACCCAGTACAGTAGTTCAAGACTAGACTAATGAAGAGGTTGTGTTTAGTACCTGTGTGGTAGGGATACTGATGCAAAGCATTTAGGAGCATTTTTACTTAGTTTTCCAGCTAACCTGCTTTAGTAACAAAAAACAAAATAGAGGTGCACAAAAGTTACAAACGTTATGTAGACTTTTATGCAGTGCTGGTCATGATCAAAACAAACCAGGTTCTAAGACAGGGGCATCATCCCTCACCTGTTCCACAGGGCTGGGAAGCTGTGCTGTAGGGACAAGTGACTTGTTCATACAGGGAATGAAGCACTGAAGCGACAAGGCAGGAGCAATATATATGTTTAGGTGATACAGACAGACTTTAGGAGTACAGAATTGTTGAGACACAACACAGCTATCTTAAGGTTCTTTCTGAGTGCATTCAAGTAACTTGCATAGTTCTGTATGGTTCGAGTTGGGCTCTGAGAAATAAACTGAAATTTTTCTGTCTGTGCCCAGGGGAAAATGGAGCTTCAAGAAACCATTAATGTATGGAAGCAGAGGACACATGTCATGAGGTATTTCCATGAGACGGAAACCCCACGGCCTAAAGACTTTCTGTCCAAGTTCTATGCAGGCCACGATCCTTGAGAGATTGACTCTGTGTCTTCCTGCCTTGTATTACAAATAAAGTTCTACTATATAGAAGAATAATCTGCACAGAAGGTTGTGTAGCCTGTTAGGAGCCTGATGACTAAATCTGAATCCAGAGTGTGTGCAAGCCATCGAGATCTCTATGGAGAGCTGTGATTTCCTAGCTTTTGTCAATGGGTATTTTCAGTGGATGGAGTTTGTCCCATCACTCACCCTGGAATGTCTGCTGAATAACCACAACACAACCTGGCTGTGGCGCTGTCTGCCGAGCCTGCAGCCCTGTGTGTACATCTCAGCTTGGTGGAACAGTGAGCAGAAAAGGGCAGGTCTTCAGAAAAGCCAGTGGTATTAGCAGAAGTGTGCTTGTGCTTGAGGCCCATTTCTATTCATGTAGTGTTTTGAAATGTCATGCTGACTTTGTTGACCTTGTGTTTTTTTACTTGGACATTATTCTCTGTTTACTTCCTCACAGAGAATGGTATAAAATCCAATAGCCAAATAAAGCTCTTTGTGCAATAAAAAAAAACCCAGCAGAGTAATTTCCTGGCTGCAAAACAAAATTGCCTGAAAAATGAGGGTTTGTACTGTTGTCTAGATTAGGGAGGCTCTGCAAGAGCTTCTGATGGAGGGCAGAAGATGGTGTCCTACCATCACCTCCTTAGTTGAAGGAGGAATTACTATCTTCCTTTTGAGCGGAGTGAGAATTTGTTATCTTACCAGTCACAAGTTTTTTTTTTCAGCAGGTAACTCAATGCTGGGGCTACCCACGTGTGATCACCATTGAATCTCTGTAGTACACTCAAGCTGCCTTTTATCCCTGCCTAAATACTGGGGCCACCTTCCATGCACAAGGACAGTGAAGCAGCATCTCAGGAATGTGTGTCTGTGTACCTGGGACTTCAGGGTGGTGTGTTTTTAAGGACATGGTTGAAGAAGGAAGACAGGAAGGGCCAGAAGATAAAGGCAGGATAAAGCAGTGATACGGAGTATGGCTGTATAGAGAACAGGAGCAGGGGAATATTTGATTTCCAGGAGTAGGTGAACTGGGGCAGCCATTTCTCAGGTGGCCTTGGGGAGGCAGGGGACAACTGAGATAGCAAGTGACTCCAAGACCCTGGCAGCTGCCTTCAGCTGCAGCTGCTGGAGTTACTCAGATTGCAGGCTCCCTTTTCTTTTAGTAGCTACGCCCAGAGAGTTACAGAGCAAACATCAAAAGCAGCACCAAGTAATAAGGGAGCAAATGTGGCTGTTTGAACTATTCCCTGTGCCAACGTGTGTGACATTAAAAGAAACTTCTTAAACAGCTACATGAATACTGAAGGGAAAAGGGGGCAGTCAAGAGAAGAGGCCAGATCCAGTGACTGGAAACCAAGAGAGAGACACTGGGACAATGCTGGCTTCAAAAAATTTAAAAATTCATCTGACTTCAACCTTTTGAGCTGGTCTGCTGTCACTGAAGGTAATCTCTGCATGCCCCCAGCAGTGCAGAAGACAATCTGGTCTAGTTGGAGACATCTCTGCTTTTTGTAGGGGGGTTAGACTAGATGACCTTTAGAGGCCCCTTCTAACTGAATACATTCTATGATTCTAAGACTTCTAAAGTCTTATGCAAGAATTTAATTGCAATAGTAAACACTTTATGAAAAGAAGAGTTGAAGTTCATGCACAGTAAAGAAAATAAATATATTTGTGCTTATGCTGAAGACAGTACTGAACTACCCAGGAATTACTAGGTACTTGGAGCCCGAGTATTCAGATAACTTCACTGTTCAGATTAAATGCTATAAAAACATCAGTTGAGTTATTTTGCAGCTTGTACTCTTAACCTAATCAAAACTTTTAACTCTGCAATGATAATACTGTATTTAATCCCAGTGAGGTGAAATTAATGATACGGTCTCTGTCAGACACAGCTACATAGTCCAGGGTTGTAAATCAGCATGATTTGAATCAGCATGATTTGAAGCATCAATATACACTCCATTCCTTTCATTAGGCTGTGTTGTGGGGCTGCTGCTTCCTCTAGGATTCCTGTCATGTGCTGTAGATGAGAACTGAATTACATAAAGAACTTGTAAGAGGAAACAAACATGAAGAAAGCCTCCTTACTGGACCAGATGTACAGACATAGAAAGGCTAATACAGAAATGATAGGTCATAGGCACAAAATCTGTAAAAACACAAGAACAAAGCCATACTTCTCAATCTCTTGATCTTTAATTAAGTGTTTCCCATATTGCTAATAAAAGGAATCCCAAGCAGTCTTTGATGAGGTGAGCGTGTATGTGCAAGGATGCAGGGCTTTGATTATCAAGCACTTCCTTCAACCCAGATCTACAGATTTTTGTCACACAGACATGCACAGGGCACTTGCTGGCAAAGGGGACAGAGCTCCCCTGTCTCATTTAGGAAGGACAAAACACAGGTGACAGATGCTGGAACCATTGCTTTGCCAATGGTTGTCTCCCTTCTGTTCTTGTTGCAGTTCTGCAATTAGAATAATAAGCCATTACTCTTCAGATACACTGCACAGAGCTCCAGTCTCTACCCTCCCCCCAAACCACACAAGGTGGATTTCATATAAAAGAAGTTTCTAACAGGCCATTGAAGTCTTTACAATCTTTTGATTCTTTCTTTATAGCTGCACAGTGCATCCTGGAAAATCCCTTTAGCAAATGGAAAACACCCACAAAACTGATTATAAAGCAACACTACTTACAACTTTAGAGCAGCTTCTTTGTTCTGCGAAGAATCAAATACACCCAAACTCAAATCTTTACACAAGGAATCACATAAAATGGTAGTGTAGTGCACTGCAGATAAAGGTGAATTATTTCTACTCTTCCTTAATCTAATGAGTCTGAATGTTCCAGCTACTCCAGAGATCAGTGTTGTAAGACAGTTTGTTCTTATGGGTTCTGGAATTCTCTAAAATTGTTCACCTCTATATCAAATCCATACAGTAAGTGATTCTCTGGAAATAGTAATTCTGTGGGTTAGCAGAATAGTTTTAAACAGGTAAACATGTAGAATAGAATCATTTAGGTTGGGCAAGACCCTTAAGATCATACAAGTCCAGCTGTAGACATAACACCATCAACTCCACCACTAAACCATGTCCCTGAGCACCACATCCTTTAAATACCTCCAGGGATGGTGACTTCACCACTTCCATGAGCAGCCTGTTCCAGTGCCTGACAGCCCTTTCAGTGAAGAAATTTTTCCCAATATCAAATCTAAACCTCCCCTGGCACAACTTGAGGCCATTTCCTCTTCCCTGTCACATGTTACTTGGGAGAAAAGAATGACCCCCCACCTTGCTACAGCCTCCTTTCCCTTTCAGGTAGTTGTAGAGAGTGAGAAGGTCGGCCCTCAGCCTCCTTTTCTCCAACCCCAGTTCCCTCAGAAGGCTTGTGCTCCAGACCCTACACTCGCTTCACTACCCTTCTTTGGATGCATGATGATGTAATGCTGAAGTGCCTCTTTTTCTCTCTGCAGTTTAGACCCTCAGTGACTACAGTTTATTTCTGATTCAAATGGCAAGACGTAAAACATCATCAGCTTATTCCAATTTCTTACAAATGTAATTTGTGGGGATTTCACAATCAGATACCAGTCTGGCCTACTTAGGTATAAAAGAACATAAAAGTTTGTAGCTAGAAGCAATACTGTATCCATTGTGTTTAACTGCAAATGCATCTGGAGTACTGTGTCCAGTTCTGAGCTCACCAGTTCAAGAAACCAAGGAACTTCTACTGGTGAGAGTCCAGCAGAGGGCTACAAAAATGATGAGAGGACTGGAGCATCAGTCTTATGAGGAAAGGCTGAGAGAGCTGGGTCTGTTTAACCTGGACAAGAAAAGACTTGAGAGTGGATCTTATCAATGCTTATAGATCTATATCTAAAGGGTGAGTGTCAAGAGGATTGGGCCGTTGCCCAGTAACAGGATGAAGAGCAATGGGGACAAAACAGAGCACAGGAATTCCATCTGAACATGAGGAAAAACTTCCTTATTTTGAGGGTGACGGAATAGTGGAACAGGCTGCCAGGAGAGGCTGTGGAGTCTCCTTCTCTGGAGACAGTCAAAATGAACGTGGATGTGATCCTGTGCAACCTGCTCTAGCAGGGCCGTTGGACTAGATGGGTCTCCAGAGGTCCCTTCCAACCCCTACCATCCTGTGATTCCACCACCTTTCAAGCTGCTGCTGTATTTCCTGGCCTCCTCCCTGCCCCAGGCCAAACGGGCAGCACAAACAATTAAGCTGCTGGTGACGTTACCGACACGCCCTTTAATCATCGTCATCATCATCCTCTGGGACGAATATGTCGTGTTCCTCCAGCAGGGCTGCGAAGTTCTTACTGATCTGCGTCCCGACGTACAGGAACGGGATCACAACGCTGAACACCCTGAGGAGGCCGAACGGCGTCTGCAAGGAGCCCGTTGGGAGAGGTTGATCTTCACCCCCGGGCCGGGCCGTGGCTGAACCCGCCGGGC